TTGATCTTCATGAGGTTGCCCAAGAAATCGAGAACAATAGTCCACCTGTAGAGATTCTTCGTTCTTTGGTCCAAAGTACAGAATCTTTGCATCACCATGGAAGTACCGATGAAAGTCTGGCTGATGAACTGTCCATTGAAGAGAACCTAGCCGATGTGAGTAGCTGGATTTGTGATTTGAGTTTGGTGTTTGTTAAGGTCATGCATGGGTCTTATGTTTCATTCTCATTCATGCAGGAATTCATGCAGATGCTGCGTAATGATGTTTCTCAGCGATTCAAGGATAAAGAGGGAAAATAGGGAATATACTTAATTTTTCTTCTCATTTTCTGATATTGTTTCTACAGAATGCCCAGTTACCAATCATTTGGGTTCTCAAGTAGACAGACAGACAGACAGCTGATGTAGGGGGGGGGGGGGGAGCCATTATACTATTCCCGTGTGTATGTATGCCTAGGGAATAGTTAATCCAGTGGATGGGAACTGTATTTTCTATGTTTAATCAAAACAATGGTACCATTTCATTCTATCAATGTGTTTTCATAACTAACTTATAAAGCAACAACAAAACCACTGTAATCCTTCAAGTGGGTATGCGGAGGAGCGTGTATTCAAACCTTACTCCTAAGGTAGAGAGGTGGGTAATGTTTGAAGCATGCCCTAATCTACGTGCATGATTGGTTTTCTCCTCCATCATTATCCAGTTCAAGTGGGTATCTGTAGTACTCAATTGGTGCATGCATCAAAGGAGCTGCTACAACAACATATTTATTTAGTGTAATTCCTCATATCATGAATGCTCCTAAGCTCGACTTTTCTCCTATTTACTGTCATTTAGCAGTTTTTTAAGAACTACCTGTAATGGGAATGTCATCAGTCAAGGGAATATGAGTTGATCTAGGGATTGGTTGGTAGTGGCGGAGCTTGAGATTTTTTTAGATAGGGGTAAAAAAACATACGAAGCTAAAAGGAGTTTAGTATTTATCATATACATAAAAAATGATTTTAATCATATACAAAAAGGGTAATTAGTAGTTGTTAACGTTGTTTTTACATGGTTAAGTTATTTTGTGTGTATGTATGACATGTTAAATCCCCTTCGACTTCTTCTATTTATATTTTGAACCTCTCGAAGCGAAAATCCCACTCCGCCAATGAAACTGATATAAATTGTATTCAATATCTGGCTACTAATCTTATTAACTTAATGATAATTGATAGGTTTGTGTGGCGTTCATTAAAGGGATTATTGACGTAACCCTATTCAAAAGTAGGTTCAGCTAAGATAGGTTAGTCACGTTGTTTATTCTTAAATTAGTACACGTGATTTAAAGAAACGTAGATTAAGATGATCAAATAGTAATAAAATTGTTAATGTCAAATTGCTTAGTAGATGTAATTAATGCCAATGAAAGAAAATGAATAACAATGTGTCGATTGACAATATAAAAATAATTGAATAGATAAAGCTTGTTCTCTAACGTGGTTATAATCGTCGGAAAAGCAAAAAACATTAGTATTTAAAATTGCGTAGTTTTGATCAACTAGACAAAATATTCGATTGGTGCATGCAGTGGAGCAGTTGGGACATTAAAAATCAATGAAGCATAAGTTTAGTTTCAAAACTCATAAAGTAATTTTTTAGATAAAGTTTTCTAAACTTATGTGTTGCGAATGAAATATTATTGTGAAATTAGGCCAATTGATAACTAGAGACATAATTATTTTTATTTTTTTTTGGAATTACGAAATAAACAGAAGCAGATATAACAGGTTGTGTGAAGGCATAAGGCTGCCTATTACATGACTTGCCTAATTACATGAGTTGGGTCCTAAATTAATTTAATTTTTTTTTATACAAATTTACATAATCCACATTATAAATTGTACCAAAATTGTGTTTTCGGCTGAACTGATCATGATAGTTAACTAGGTAAAATTGTACAAGTAGTTTAGCAGCTATAAAAACTACAATTGAAGATGTAACAATTCACACAAAACAACAGAACAAAGTGACACTGACTTTAAAAACTCTGTTTTTTTTTCATCATTTTGAAAATGGCCTCAACAAAACAATATTTTTCTGCTGCTGGCAAGCCTATTCGTTGCAAAGGTATGTATATACTCTTCACAAAAATCTTCTGCTATTATCTTGAAACAACTCTGTCTATAAATAGCTACACTATACCAAAAATGATCTTCAGCGGAAATATATATTTTTTTAGAGGGCAATTAGTAGTGACAATTATATTTTAGCACTTTATGTAAATGCTGCTAAAGCTTGTAGTGATATTGGATCTAATGACAATTTACTAATGCCGCTTTAACATTCTTTGGTAATGTGCATATTTATTGCCGCTAGAGGTTATTGTTGTTAAAGTGCTGTGATGAATCCAGATATTTTGAGGACTAATTCAAAGGAACCCCTTCGTCGAAAATACTGTATATATAAGGTCAATTTTGTGTAATATATATATATATAGTAGATGATGAACACAGGTACTATGAGATCATATGGGTCCTACATTGAATATGAACAAGAAGTGATCCTCACCTTGCATGTAGAAAAAGGGTTTTTAGCATTTGTTGATTGATAAAGGAACTTGAAAACAATACACGGATTTTTGTTGATAAAAATTGCTGCTTTCTGTGTTGAATTGTGTACCATGTCAATGGTTAGATCAAATTATGTGACAGTTAGAAAGAGCGCACTTTTAATTACTTAGTTATATTATGTCTCAACACGTTATAAGTTACTGACTTGTGAGTCGTATGTGTTGCAGCTGCAGTGGCAAGAAAAGCAGGAGAACCACTGGTGATAGAAGAAGTGATTGTGGCTCCTCCTAAAGCACATGAAGTTCGACTCAAAATCATTTGCACTTCTCTGTGTTATACTGACATTATCGCATGGAGGATGAAAGTAAGGTTATTGGTTTAGCTTATCTCCCCCGTAGAATCACTTGTTTATTAACTTTTGTATCAACTGTTTTCTTGCTTCTTGTAAGGAATTTCCTGGCTGCTTTCCAAGAATCTTAGGCCATGAAGCTTTTGGGTAAATCTTACTTCAATTTCATTTTATACGAAGGTGTTTTGACTCTGACACGAAAGTTGTATCAAAAGTATCCTTAAAAGTTTTAACTATTGAAATGTATCGTTCTTTTGGAGCACACTAAAAAGGAGTGTATACATCGTTAAGGGGTTGATTCGTATATATGCACCAGCAAAATATGACATTTTGATCGACTTTACTAACTTTTACTGAATTCAAGGGTTGTCGAGAGTGTTGGAGAAGATGTTGATGAGTTAAAAGAAGGAGATTCAGTTGTACCGATATTTTTGCCTGACTGTATGGACTGTGTAGACTGTAAATCCAAGAAAAGCAACCTTTGTTCCAAATTCCCATTTCAAGCATCTCCGTTGCTGCATAGAGATGATACAAGCAGATTCACTAATGCTGAAGGAGAAACTTTACATCATTTCTTGTATATATCAAGTTTTTCCGAGTACACAGTCGTTGATGTTGTTAATGTAACAAAGATTGATCCTGAAATCCCACCTAACAGGGCGTGTCTTTTGAGTTGTGGCGTATCAACAGGTACTTTCCTCATTTTCTAATATTTACATGTTATAATCAACCACTCAGGTCATCATATTAATGTTGTTTGTTTCAATTTTCCTTACTGTAATCTGTGGTAATATTCGAATACATGAAAAAACTATGTAATAAGAGTTTACAACAGGTTCATGTTTGATATGATATAAATTAAACTTCAGGAGTTGGTGCTGCCTGGAAAACAGCAAATGTGGAACCAGGTTCGACAGTAGTTATCTTCGGTTTAGGATCAGTTGGATTAGCAGTAAGTTTCTCCTCCGACTTCTTCTTGCTTATATATGTCGGTTTCATGTAAGCTGTTATGCTTCTGGAGGATCTTTTAGGTTGCTGAGGGAGCAAGGCTCTGTGGTGCTACCAGAATTATCGGCGTTGGTAGGAACTCTGACAAGTTTGAAATAGGGAAGCAGTTTGGAGTTACTGAGTTTGTCAATTCCAAAAGCTGTGGGGATAAATCTGTTAGTCAGGTGGGCCTTTTATTGGTATAGTGATATTTTAAAAATAAGGTCTCCTTAAAATGTTGGATTCGTAATCTTGAAAATAAGACGGAGTACATACCTGTATAATGTAAATATGACAATGATTCTTATCCCATGCCAAAACTCTCATATCAGGTAATAATTGAGATGACTAATGGAGGTGCTGATTATTGCTTTGAATGTGTTGGTCAAGCAACACTTGTGCAGGAAGCATTTGCCTGCTGCAGAAAGGTCTCCCCGCGTAAATCTTGTACTAATCAACAATATAAACAACACAAATTTGTCTATTAACCTTTGGCTGTAATATGCAGGGTTGGGGTAAAACAATTGTTTTAGGAGTTGATAAGCCAGATGCACAGCTGAATCTTAGCTCCTATGAGGTTCTTCAGAGTCAGAAAACTCTCACGGGATCATTCTTTGGTGGTCTCAAACCCAAATCTGATGTTCCTATCCTCGTTAAACGTTATCTTGACAAGGTACTTAATCAATCTGCTAGAAAATTCAATGACCATACGTGAAATTAACCCTTGGTACCACATTTATGTGGCTTCTCAGGAATTGGAGCTGGACAAGTTTGTCACACATGAAGTGAATTTTGAAGATATCAATAAGGCGTTTGATTTACTCATTCAAGGAAAGAGCCTACGCTGTGTTATCTGGATGGACAAGTGATTTATCTTACTTCAATCTGTGCCTTGTTTTCAATAATTGTACCTCAGCTCTCAATAACCATTTGGTCTCGGGCTCGAGCCAAACTTAGACAATTTCTCAATATATGGATGTGATCATGAGTACGACAGATTATTACAGCAAACATATTATTGCAGATTTTGCAAATGTTCTATCTCAGAAATAGACAAGTAACTGAGCAGCACATTATTATCTCTACATATTAAAGAAACTTCAACTATCCTATGACACTGTAAAAGCACTAGATGCACCAGTATAATACGAGTTTGATGGTTCTTTCATTTCCTTTGTTGATCCAAAATGCCTTAAGCGATAAACGCCTGGACTAGCCTCCTCTGGTACTTCCCATTCAAGTGTAGCATAACCATAACTATTCACATCATCACGAGCAATACTAGTGATATTTTCTGCTTGCCATTTAAAGAACAAGCAAAAATCATCGTCATCATATTCAGGTAGCCAACTTTGGTGTTGAAGCATTTCCACAACAGCAAATGTGCCTTCAGTAAGTAAGTCATATCTTGGATTTGCACTCCAGAATGTTGCAATTGCTCTGTCTCCCTTTGTAAATGTTCCGGATTTTGGTACCATTATGTCTTGTTTAATATCGCCAAAATTTATTCCCGGTGGAGGTGAATCACCAGTAGGATCTGGTAAGAGACTAAGTTGAATTGACAAAAGGTCTGGTGGTGAAGGTCCTTTTGTAGTAATGTTTTCTCCTTTTGCCATAGATTCAGCTAGCTTCTTGAATTCTTGAATATATGCTGATAATGTGTGTGGACCGTATAGAGTAGACGCTGCCTGCCCAAGTTTAAGGGTGTGTTTGGTATGAAGGAAAACATTTTCCGGAAAATGTTTTCCAATTTTCTCATGTTTGGTTGGGTTAAATGTTTTGGAAAATATTTTCCAAATCAACTCATTTTCCTCAAATTTAAGGAAAATGACTTCCCTTCAAAACTTCAGAAAAACATTTTCCAAACTCTCTTCCAACTTCCAATTTAAAAAAAAAATTGTTGAAAAAATCAATTTATTTTGTCCCTACACTTAAACCAACCCCCCAACCACCCCCCGAAAAAAAATAAAATTTAAAGTTTGTTTTTAAATTCAATATTTTTACCCCACCCTCACCCTACTCCCACCCCCTACCACCACCCCTCCCAAAAATATATTAAAAGTTGTTTTTAAAAGATATTTCTTATTTCAATTTTTTATTTTTTAACCCCCACCCCCTACCCTCGCCCCCCCCCCCCAGCCCCTATCAGCCACCACCCCCTTCAAAGAGAAAAAAATTTAAGTTTGTTTTTAAAAAATATTATTTCATTTTTTCACCCTTACTCTCGACTCCCCTACCCATTCCCCCACCCACCCCCTACCAGCCCCCCCACTCCCAAAAAAAAATTTGAAGTTTGTTTTTCAAAAATATTTTCGACTTCAAAATTTCATTTTTTCACCCCTACCCTCGACCCCACCCCACCCCCTACCAGCCCCCCCCCCACCTCCCAAAAAAAAAATTTAAGTTTTGTTTTAAAAAAATATTTTCGACTTCAAAATTTCATTTTTTCACCCCTACCCTTGACCCCCCACCCACGCACCCACCCCCTACCAGCCCCCCCCCCCCAAAAAAAAAGTTTAAGTTTGTTTTTAAAAAATATTTTCGACTTCAAAATTTCATTTTTTCACCCCTACCCTCGACCCCCCCCCACCCACCCACCCACGCCCTACCAGCCCCCCCCCAAAAAAAAAAAAAGTTTAAGTTTGTTTTTAAAAAATATTTTCGACTTCAAAATTTCATTTTTTCACCCCTACCCTCGATCCCCCACCCACCCAACCCCTACCAGCCCCCCCCCCCCTCCCACCCCCCAAAAAAAAATTTAAGTTTGTTTTTAAAAAATATTTTTAACTTTAAAATTTCAATTTTCACCCCTACCCTCGACCCCCCCACCCACACCCTACCAGCCCCCCACCCCCCAAAAAAATTTTAAGTTTTTTTTAAAAAAAAATTATTTTTAACTTCAAAATTTCAATTTTTCACCCCTACCCTCGACCCCCCCCACCCCCTACCAGCCCCCACCCCAAAAAAAAATTAAGTTTGTTTTTAAAAAATATTTTCAATTTCAAAAAATATTTTCTACTCTAGTAAAAATAAAAGAAAATTTTCAAAATCATTTTCATTCATAAATCAAACACAAAAAATATTTTCTACTCACCAACCAAACATGGGAAAATAAGTCGAAATCCAACTTGTTTTCCAAGAAAACATTTTCCATGGAAAACATTTTCCTTCATACCAAACACACCCTAAATGACAATTGAGATTTAAGTTATATGCACTGACAATGTAAAAGAACAAATTTGGATACATACTTCTATTGTATATGATATGATAGTGAGAACTTTTAAGAGGTGTATGGTAACCTATTATAAGAGGCTTACTTTACTATAATTCGAACTTTATAATAAACAGATATATAACTTGCAAGTTATACATTTGTCCAAGAGTACGTAGTACCTCATATCGTTGTTGCTCGTACTCTTCAAAAGTGGTTATGTATTGTGAGTAAGCGTTGGTTAGGCCAGCTATGACAACATGAGTTTGGTCATCAAATTCGCCATTTCCGCTGCGAACTAGTGTCTTTTTCACTGCCTCTCTTAACCTACGTCCAGCCATTGTTGTAAATTCTGTACCACAACATGAATGTGTACAGTTTTTCTTAATAATTTTGAAATAAATTACTATATATAAGTATATGTCACAAATTTTATATTTAAAAACATAGTCATAACATACCTCCTGGCACAGAGAGAAGGATGAGTCTTCCTAACCTGAAAATTTGAATTGGAAGTATTGCTGGCTGCAAAATAATAATGAAAAAAACATCACTAAGTTTATTATATGACACATTGAGAGAAATCAAGAAAATTTCTTTATGTTCATACTTTCCCCGCTTTTTACAATAAAAATAACTTTAATCTTAATTTTTACAAAATTTAGCCAATATAATGGGTGTACTGGTTATACACCGAGTATACACTGGCAATACCTTCATCCTTAACCAGAGAGATTCGGTATGAAATTACATTTGGTAGGGAGATCTTTCCTTCTTAAATGAGAGTTTCTAGTGCGAATTCGAATTAGTCCAACTCCAAAACAGATACCAAACAATAGACAGGATCACAGGAAACCAAAGAAAAAAAAAGGTATACACTACTTTTAATTTTGTTGTTGGGCCTTACCGCCCAAGGATATGGCCAAAACATCTCTCCAGAGTCCAACAAAACAGTCTTGGGCTTTTGACAGCCCACTTGATATGGGCTTGGTTCTCTTAACACATCTCTTAATTTCTTCCAAAATGGATTTATCTGAAAATCAAATTAAATTTTCATCTTTAAAGCATAGTAATAATAGATTAATTTTAATTTTTTTTTCATGATTATAAAAAGATTAATTAATTTGTGACCTCAGTATCACCCTGTTGAAAACCAAAAACACCAGGCCCATCAGTAGTTCCAGCAGCAAATCCTGGGCCCAATGCTGCAGGGCATGTTTGGACAACCTTATTATCTTCTAATTGAACCTTAATATTTGTAAAATTAATATAAACATGTCGATAATCAATTTTCCCTGTTAATTCTTGTTTAGCAGATGTGAAAAGATCAACAGCCTTTTGAAATTGTCTTTTTCCAATAATCTTTGTACTCAATATTTCATCTGGATATCTGCAGACACATTAGATTGTAATCTGAAAGATTCATGAGTCGTCACAAAAAAAAAGAAAAAAAGATCATTTACTAAGCAGTTATCCCAAAAAGGGACGAGTCTTACCCAGGCCCGCGGCCCACACAGAGTTGGTCATTGCCATGACAAGAAGAGTGATTAAAATCACAAGGTAATCCACTGTCAATACAAAATGCTCCAACCACATTTGGACTCACATCTCCAACATTTGATTGACAAAATGCTCCAACAAATTTCATTTCTTTGTCTTTTCTCACCTTAAAGCCTTGACTTGTTGTATTTGTACAAGGTTGTCCTCCTGTAGGCTTGATTTTAGATGTTTTATTCAATAAATCTTGGTTGCTACCTGATAGGTTACCTGCTATAACAAATAAATATAATTGATGTGTAAAAAATTCTTTAAATTGATAGTTTATATAGCCTAAAGCAAATGCTTTTACAACAACGTAATCAAGTGAGATTTCACAAGTGGGGGTCGGGGTCTAGGGAGGATGAGATTTATGCAAACCGGTGGCGGAGCCAAGATTATCAATAAGGGGGTTCAAAATCTGAAAAAATAGACATACGAAGTAGTCGAAGGGGGTTCGACATCTACTATATATATCTAAAAAAATATTTTAACCATGTATAAATCATATAATTTTTCGCCGAAGGATCCAAACCCCCTAATGGTGGCTCCGCCACTGATGCAGACCTTACCCTATCTTGAGTAAGGTAGAGAGATATTGTTTTCGATAGACCCTTTCAGAACGGTTGAAATTATGAAAATATTTTTTTACACAAACAAAATTAATATTTTTCCTACCTAACACCTTAGTAGATTTTGTAGAGGAATTTTTGGTGAACCAATCCTCAAAAGGGTCATTAGGGTATCAATATTTGTATTATATTTAGATCTCTCTTCTTGAGGATTGAATAAATATGCACTTGGACTCCTGTTTATGCCTGCATTTTCTAGATCTCCTACATAATCATTCAAACAAAAAAGGACAATGTTAGATTCATGTAGGATACAAATTGCCATGTAGGGTGCCACATCGGACACAAGACATTCAGAATTAAGCTTGAGATAAAAATTACACTATATTTAGTTGATAGTATAAATTTATCATATCCCACCAAACTAAGGATTATTTTATCCCACCAGCTCGTAGGTGGAATAAATTAGTAAAAAAATTATAATTCTAGAATTATAATCTCGGAATAATTTTGTCAACAAAATTTTATTTTGCACAAGAGAGAATGAAAACTAATGTATTTTTTGAAAATTATTTCTTTAAGTCCTTTTAATTTTTCATATTTCATTAGATTAAGTCAACAAATGAGTCATAATTCAATCCATTTAAACTTGAGAGAATTACTAACAATTACTATTATATAACTATATGCATGATGATTAATTTGTCACCTTTGTTGATAAAGATAGAACCAGGCTTTAGATTGTCATGGGCCTGGACAATACTGAGCTTAATGGCAGTAACAATTGCCTCAAATGATTGTGGCACAAAGCCCAATGAAGTTACACTATATGTCACATATTGCAAATAACCTCCTGGACCAGCATGAGTATGTGTCCCACTTATTGCAACATTTTCTTCGCTATATATATTTCCATACCTTCATATATACAACCAAAAAATAATACTTTATAAGCTTCATGTCTAGTCAAATATCGTCAAATAAAATCATATGAGTCGTACCTTGACTTTAGTCGCTTGAGTACTTTGATTGTGACAAGTTGTGAAGCCATACCAGCATCAAGATTAACAAACACAAGCCTTGGACCATTGAAACTTTCAGCAACGATGAACGTCCTAGCTCGTAATCGAAAATGTATACCACCAGTAATTTGATCAAAATTACCATAACCCATCATGTTCACTTGTGAAGCTGGTCCTGTCATGTCATAACTTCCTAATCCTATTAAGTATTCTCCATTGACACTTAGATCTATTAGACAAAGTAAAAACAGGAAAATACGTAGTAAGATTTCTGTTTTTCTTCTCATTTTGTTCTATGAATGGAAATTGAATGGATTGTTTTTAGAATATGCACACGTCGGGTTATATGTTAGTGAACAAATTGGGAATTCCTAAGGAACTCTTGGATCTAATGTTGTAGCGGGTTTATCTTATACCAGTACTTTCGACGTGGAACATAAATTTATATGTAAAAATTAACTAAAATTGCGAAAAATAGTAGATATGAACTCGTAACTTTAAAAATATAATTAGTTCAATACTAAGAACCATGAATATTGAACCCGTAGAATTTAAATTCTGGATCTACCTCTGCGTCGAGGTTTAGATGTTTTGATTTTTTTTACTATGAAGAAATTTGGACTGAATACATTTTTGCTTAGGTTGCTCCGAACGTGCAATTTTGGGGAAGTTGTGTCTTGTTTGTTATATGTTGGAATTGTATGTTTTTTTGCGGCTTGAATTTTAGCTATTTGTTTTTCAGTTTCATTTGGTATCAAGTATGCATATATCACGGATTCAAAATTTGAATTTTATGAATTTAGTGTGGAATTTTAGTATTGTGACTCCGAACTCTACTTATTTCCCAACCTTAGCACTAAATCGCCCTCGGCCCTTTCCTTAGACTTTGCTAACGCGGAATGTTTTGTGCACTGACTGACCCAAATACTAAATCGCCCCTGCTTACAGCTCAGAGTTTGTGTTCTTTGCAGGCTTTTTAGATTAAGATGCATGAATCAATCTTTACTCATTATTTCCACCCTTTCCCCACCATTAAGCTACTCCATTTCATAGAATATGCACTTTACACTTTGGAAAGCACACACCCCATGCTTCTTAATTGCTTAACTTTACTCTTACAGCTCATGTCTCATGGGTGATGGTCCATGTTTCTTCAAAAGTTTATAGCTTGAATTGCAAGCTTGTCTAATCCATAAAGCCATGCTAACAAAAATGCTTTATGTGAGAACTTCTTAGGTGGAGTTTATACACTAACACAGTCAATATAAGTTATTTAATTGATATAGCACTATCAAGATTGCATATTTGCATTTTAATGATATGCTTTGGCTATATAAACATCTTTTAGATCAAGATTGCATATTTGCATTTTCAAGATGCTTTGGCTATATAAATACTCCATCTTTTAGATGATCTAATAGTGTAAGTGATGGTAGTTATTAAACTAGGGAAAAGGCATAAATTTCCCCCCTAAACTTATTATGAAAAGTTAGTTACACACTTAAACTATTGTGACGATTTATTACACACCTAAATTATTTAAAAGTGAATGTATTTCAACCTTGATGCATATGCAACCAGTCACATGATGAGAGAGTGTTTCACACTCGTGTCACATCATCACCATGTCACTGCCACATCAATTGTTTCTTCTTCCCTATAAACCATCAAACCCACCATTAATGTTGTCATTATCACCAAATTCACTTCTTCACCACCATAGATTTCACCACCCATAACCCAAATTCACCACCGGATTAATCTTCCACAACCATGACCATCATAGAAAATTGGTAACAACAATAATAAACTTAACTAAATTCACCATCGCAATCACATTATTACCATTGAAATTCATCACAATCATAACCATATATTTCAGCATCCACATCAAAATCACAAATTTCACTGTCATTATTGAAATTAAAAGTCATACCATCACTAATTTTTATTATCCATCTCCAAACCCACCACAAAAAATTATTACAATTGACGAGATCGAATGGAGACAATCCTTTCATGGTCGAGAAAATCAAAGGGGATGATAAAAATTATTACATCTGGACAAAAAAGTAAGATCTGAAATAATTTTCCAATTAAAATCTTAAAGAAAAAATAATAAGATGTCTTCCTCCATCACAAAGAAACAACCAAAACACCTGTGCCAGTAAAATAGTTACATTAAAAATATAGATTTAGAAGTCATAAGTGTATAGATCGGATATAGGAACAAAAATAGAACAACACAGTTTTCTAATAGATTTGAGAAGTGAAGGATCGTGTGAGAAATGGGCAGATCTGTAACTCAAAGTGCAAATGAAATTTAATCGGTAAGGGGGGAAAAGAGTGAGACCTGTATCTTACGTTTTACGAGATCGAGTGGAGAAGAAAGGTAGAATGACATGAAGGAGAATGGTGAAGATGGGGAAAAATTGACTTTTTTTTAACTCAAACGCGCTTTATTTATATTATATTTAATTTTATTTTTGCATCAGCTTTGAGGGTGACATTAAATTCAGTAGTTTAATAGTATAAGTGTAATAGATCGCTTCAGTAGTTTAAACGTGTAATTGATTTTTCGAGACAACTTTGGAAATGAATTTATGATTTTCCCTATTAAACTACTTCAAACTGTTTTTATGTGACATTTATAATTTGCCCAAATTCAAGTCTCGAGAATAAAACCATACAACTAGCAATTTATTTATTTTCATACCGTCCCATTTACTATCTATTAATATTTGATTGACTAATCCTTATATCGGAATAGTTGAATGATCAAATAATTTAGTAATTTCTCACAAGGGGATGAATCGAGAGAATATTAAATCGAAGCACAAGAATTTTTATCATCTTTTGCCATAATAATTTATCAAGATTTGAAATTATGATAACTCGATATGATTACTATACATGACCAATAACTAAAAAATGTCGTATATCAATATTTTTTCATATAACTGAGTTGGAAATGATACAACTAAACCATAAAACAAGAAGTCAAGGATAAAATCAACTGCATTTTACAAATCCATATTATCAAACTTCATACACATAAGGCACATATATGCACTTACATACAGAAATATCAAATACAGTACTAACAATTATCCTTCAAAATCCAAAAAAAACAAAGTGAAGGAAATGAAAAACACTTAAAACCAAAACAACATAGCAACACAATCATAACATCCCAAAAGTAAAAACATGAACAAATAAACATTCATTTAATTTAGTCTTTTTCCTTCTCCTTTTCCTCTTCAGTTTTTGAGTGGTATCCTGGTAATTTCTCCTTAATTTTGTCCAAAAATCCCTTTTTCTCCTTCCCCTCCGCCTCATGCTCCACCGCAGCCGGTGGTGGTGGTGGTGGTGCCGCCACTTCCTCCGTCTTCTTATGTCCTCCACCTGGCAATTTCTCCTTAATTTTGTCTAGAAATCCTTTTTTCTCCTCTGTTTCCTCGTATTTCTCAACTGGAACTGAGGTATCCTCTGTTTTCACTTCTTCCTTGTGATCACCAGATATTTTTTCCTTAATTTTGTCCTTCAATCCCTTCTTTTTCTTCTTCTTGGTTATCTGTCCATCCTCTCCAATTTCTTCCTCCTCGTCACTCTGCAAATCGATCAACATTAGTATGTCGTTCACTCAACTGATTAAACTAAAAATAGTCTCTATGTACAATATATCAATGATCACGTATAATTTATTCATACCTACTAGAAAAAGTAAACAGTAAATTTACTCGGCTGTTAGTGTGAAAACAAATAGTGTAAAGTATTAATCTCTATATTATCAAGTTAAAAGTAACCTACAATAGCATATCATGATTTTTTGTTTTAAGCCTGATATGGTGTTGCTATAAAAAAATAAAATAGATAAGTAACAACTATTGACTTTTCTTTATACATTTACAAATTTCTAATTATTTATAGTTGAATAAAATCATCGGAATAATATAACATGATCAAAGATCCAACGCTATCGACTTAATTACTTAAATTGAAAATAGTCAGCGGACAATATAATCTATGTGAAATAAATATGATCATGAGAAAAAGTATGTGTGTTATATTTATTGATTTGACGTAAACGGAGGATGAAAGAGAGACTTACCGAGCTACTAGAGCTGCTACTTGATCGATGAAGTTTCTTCTCTTCTTTCTTTTCCTCCTTGTGTTCTTCTTCTTCACTTACTTTAACTTTCTCACAAAACTCAGATGAAATTGCCTCTTCTTCATGAGCATGACTTGGTTTTGCCTCTTCTTTTTTCCCAATGAAATCAAACAAACCACGATCAGTAGCCTCCACGTTGGCACCAACAGTCTCTTCAACTGATGGCTTGTTCTGTTCGTACTGATCAGCCATATTTCTTCTTCTTTTTTTCAATCAAAGAAATTATCAACAACTTTAAGGTAAAGTGAAAGTTTGAATATTGAAATGATATTTGAATTGGATGTGGTTGAATTATGAGACGTGGTGCGCTTTATATAGCAATTACAAACACGGACGTTACGCTGATTAAGATTTTTTTATTTTTCGATATACTAATAAAAAAGGAGTTCAAACGTCTCATAATAAATAAAGAGTAATCAAGTACACCAAGTTAAACGGACGTCTACGTGGCCTTTTTTGCTCTTCACACTTTCCAGTGTATATCAATTTTATATACTCGCCATGTTAGCATGACAAGTGGACAAATAATCTTACTTATAGGTACGACTAAGTTGACGCAATATGTGATATTCTATAACAAAGGTTTGTCACTATTCTTCAGTTCAGCTCGTAAATTATTGCATATGAACGGATTTATTCCATGTATACCTGAAGAATAACGATATGAATTTCTCTTATAATACATTTATAAATGTTCATTTTGATCCAAGTAAATACTACTCTCTCAATCCTAATTGATTACTTTTTCCTTTTACACACTCTTTGAATGAGTATATATTGCAGTATAAGTTTTTGTTTTCTATTCGGTGACTGGAGCCGCTTTAAAGCTCCAAGTAAATCTGAATCGTATAGAACCCATTCAAACATAGTATTCTTAACAAAATTTTCTCCATATACAAAATTCGACCCATATAAATAATGATGTGACCATTCTCACAGAATAAAAGTTTGCTTACTCTATTAGATGACAGACGTGATGAAAAAGGATGTGTACATTAAAAAGAAGAAATTAGAATAATGTAGAGACAGACACACTGTACTCTTGACGGTGACAAACAGCCAATGAAATTCTCACACGTAAGATGACAACGCGTGAGGTCGTCCTTGTGGGACCAG